AGTAGGTATTCCGAGGATTGGATGACCAACAATGTCATTGTAGTCAAATTTCGATTGAATTAGGCATTCCGCCAGTTGCTTTCAGACATGGAAAGGAGTTAAGTGCTTTTTGTATTGGAACCTACGCTTACCCATCTCACTAAAGAGGGTGTCAATGGGGTCAACCAAAAGGCGTAAAACGGCCAAAAATTTAGTTGATAGCGGTAAAAATTGAAAAATTTTAACCGTTAGCCGTAAATATGGTAAAAGAGAGTTAACCTTAAAAGAAATTGTTCCCTAGATTTGCTACTTTTAAGGAAGGTACTAAACTCACTTATGGTTGCGTTTTTTATCTCCCGGCTAGTGTGACTCCGTACACACGTTAGGCGAAGCGCCTTTTAGGTGTTGAGCAAGACTTAGGTTCCATTTTCGCCGCTCTCTCGGGGAACTAATTTTTTTTCCATAGCGAAAGTGTGGCTTCTTGCTTGGGATTAATATTTGCGATTTCCAGGAGGTCGTGCCCTCGAAACACTAGTGAAACAACACGCAGAGATGTCACTGTTGAAAACACGTTGCCGATAAACAACATTTCCTCTTTTTCTCTGACGCTACGGTTGACATTGCCATGCCTAGTCCCTGTACGGCATCTTCTCACGCAATCTCGGGCAAGGCATTTCGGTGGCAAACTCGCTCGGATCACGTGACCCGAAAAGTATTAGCCGCGCGGAATAATGGGGCCTACGGACAGGGCAACGGCAGACAGTCGTTCCGTACAGTCCTTCGCTATCATTAAAAACACTGATCACGGAAATTTTGCTATTGGCCGTTTTCACACTTAAGGTAGAAATTGATTATCCCTCTGAGGCTAGCCTGTGTACAGTCTTCCCCTGCCCGACAGACACCCCTTCTCCAATTTTTTCTGAGGGGAGGGGACGGCTTTGCACAGGCTATCCCCCCCCCCGCTACGCTGTTAAGTTTGTATTAAACGGCCCTCTCTAATAAACGCCCCCCTTGAAAACTGCTCCAAAATACTAGGAAAGGGCGAAATAGGGCAAAATCAACCAATTTATTAATTTCATCAATGAAAAGAGACAAAAAAAAAATAAACCTTGGAGGACAAAAGCCGTCAACCCGCAGTACAGATTCTGTTAACACAAAAACGTTTTTGGCCGAAGGCATACTGAATACAGCTTTGTTAAGTTCGTTAAAATAAGTTACCAGAATAAACGCCTCTCTCTTTTAAACGCCTCCTATCCGTTAAACGCCCTCTCTTGGACCCCTAAAATTAAATAGACGCCCTGCTTATATTAGATCATTTACGGTAAGCGTGCAGCCCTATTATGAAGTTTTTGGAGTCTTTCAGACTAACACACACCTAAGCTGCCTCAAACGGAGGAAGAGCAATCAAAGTATGGTTGGATGAGAGCTTTATAGATCATAATTACAGTCTCACGGGTTATCAGATTTCTAACTTGTTTGATAGCCACAAGGACATTGACAAGATTTATATTGTCTAAATGGGAGTCCCACGATAGGCTCTCATCCAAATCAACACCAAGGTACATATAAGTTTTAGCTCTTTCCGGAGAGTGACTTAGATTACCCAGCCTGTCGTGGCTACCAATAATAAAATACTTGGATTTTTTGACATTTAGACTCAGCTTGTTAACTTGTAGCCAAGTCTGAAGTACAGCTAAGTCGCTATTTAATTTAGATTGTTTTTGTGCTGGATCATACGAACTTATGGTAAAACTTGTGTTGTCTGCACCTACTGGACTTGAATCCGTAATAATCTCTATTTTGGCATTGCGCTCAAAATTCCCCAAAGACTCCGCCTGGGCTAACTGTCGTTTCAGTTCTGTAAAGGCTGCCTGCTGCTCGGGATCAAAAACGAACGGGCTCTTCTTTCTTTGTCAATAGTTTCGATGGTTCTGATGCAGTCTGTGATTCACGTCCTTGGGTCACCGCTTTGACGTTCTCTTCTCTCAGACCAATGCTTTTTTGGGGTAGTACTAAGCCCATAAATGTGATAAATAAAATATACAATTCTCCTTGTTAAGGTTAAGGCCCCTGTCATTCACTCTGGTCAGTAGTTTCTCCAGTCGCTTGTCATATTCAGCTCTGTTAGGACCATAGTGGGGACCATAGATGATGATGTCATCTGAATTGTTTGCCGTTCCACTGCAATATGTCAGCACTTGTTGAATGACCTGCTAATATTTCTCCGGAGCAGAGGTGATGCCAAACATCACTCTCTTTCAAATAACATACCCTTGTATGTTACGAACGTTTTTATGCCACATGAATCCTGAGCTGGATTTGATGGTCGCTTCACTTCAGATGCGATTTACTGAAGATGTTGCCTTCTCTCACGTCTTTAATTACTTTATCAGTTGTGGGAATCGGGTGTCTCTCACGACTGATTGCTTTGTTGGCCCACCAACAACTTTTTTGTACTTCGCTTTGAGACACAATTGATATGACGTCTCTTCAGTTGTAACCACAAGGCTTGACCAATCACATTTGCAATTGAATCGATGATCATCTGCGTAATGTTTAAACTTGAGAACACTTTATGCATGTTTTCTCTTGCCGGGTACTGAACATCTTCGGCAAAATGTACCTTTCTTCCACGTCTGTAACACTCACTACCTGTCTGAGGCTGTCAAGGACTCGATTGACTGGCCCAATTGATAGACATGTTCTTTCTGTTTGCCTCTTGACCACTTCATAATTCCGTGCCAGTTCTTACAAAGTTTAAAACTGAGAGTCTGAAATTTCTCCAAAATTTTACGTCGCAGCTCTTTAGACCGACAGTTTGAGATGATTTGATCTCGAATTTGGGCCTCCATTAATTTCCGTGATCACATTTTTGACATTGCTGGGCTTTTTGCCTAGCCACACAGCTAATTTATCAATTGTTTCACTTTCTCTTTGGACTATTTCTCTGAACAAATGCCGCTTATGTGGAATTTTAATTTGAGACACTTTTCCGGTTATAATCCTTCGCAGTGCCAGTGTTGGGCAACACGTCATCTCGATGGACACGGCGTCTCGATGGACACGGATTGAACCACAACTTGACACAACGAAAGTACTTTAGCACAGCTTGGTCAACCTACCCGCTAACCAGCCCCATACATCATGTTTTATAAAATAACTAAGATAGTACGCGTGCTCTGATTGGCCGAGAGCAGTGTTTGCATGAGAGTATGTAAACATGGTTGTGGCGTCAAGTTGTTTGGTTTTTTGCGCGCTAATCACGCAAGCACAAATTTGAAAAAGTTTTCGAGTTCAAAACTCAAAAAGTTTACTTTATTTACCCATTCCTTCGTCGGCTGAAACTTGGAAAATCGTTACAAAGAAGGTGTGTACATTTTTCTTCGCTTAAGCTGACCTTTTCAAGCGAGAAAAATCCGTATTTTGCAAAGCATCTTTTTGCAAATAAAGAACTGATTACGCGTGCAAGACTTCGTGGACAAGATTTTGCGACTGGTAAGAATTTCTCTTTTAATCAGTGCCTTACAAAGAGTTTTGCGTTTTTTTCTCGGGAAAGTTATTTTATAAAAGCAATAGAAAACTTTTTTCCTGTGTTTGCATAGCCTGATATAAACACTCGAGGCGTTGGGAGAATTCTCGACCGTTATGCAAACCCTCGACTTCGTCTCGGGTTTGCATAACTGTCTCGAATTCTCCCAACCCCTCTCGTGTTTATATCAGGCTATGCAAACACGGAAAACGTTTTCTATTGCTTAAATATTGCACAAAGTAAGCATATGTTAATTCCATGTAAAACCTACACGAAATGTCCTACAATCCCCTGGCAGTTCTGAACAAATTCCTGTCATTAGTACCATAAGTGATGCAAAGAGAAGAAACAAGAAAATGTGCATGTTCCTGTTAGGGTTATATGTTTTTTGGGGAAGTTATTTGTTCGCTGGACTGTACCGTGAACTCCACGCATGGCTACTCACGTGTGTTTGTGATGTGTGCGTTTTGATTTGACGTCCAGTCGATTCCAACATTTCCACTTCATTTGTGACTTTAAAACAACGCGGAAGTAGCTTCCGCAGTAGTAATTTTGCACCCTGAAAGAATTGCTCATTAAAGATGAAATATATCCAAGGATTAATTCCACTGTTAAAGCAAACCAGAAACCAGCCAAGGAATAGAGAGTTCCAGGAGCAGACAACTTTTAAGCCAGAGAAACAAGCCATCGTTCCAAAAATGAACGGAAAACGACAAACGATTAGCACAACAACAACAGTGACAAGCATTGTTAATATCTTGCGGTTCATCTGTTCCCGTCGATGTTGATTTGACGGGAGTTGGTTGCCAGGTGCTGTGGTGTGTTTCAGTTTGAATCCAATCGCAGCGTAGATGAGGATGATAGCAATGATAGGCAGTAATACTAACACAGGGTAGCAGAATAATAAATAAATGATAACGTAACCAATGATTCCAAAATTGAAGGTACAAACATGAAAGTCCGGCATGAATTCGACTAAAGTGGTCATTTTGAATAACGGCACCGTGAACACTATCGCAAAAATCCAAATGACGCCAATCAAAAACCGGGCGATACGAAGAGTTATTATTCTCTTGAGTGGATAAAACACCAGGAAAAAACGATCCAAGGCAGTCACAAGCAAACTTGCAGTGGACACCAAGACTGACATTTGACCAATAAACTGAGATAAACGGCAAAGCAGTTCGCCCGCGACTCCCGTGATAAGCCACTGGTGGCTATATGCAGTGTCGACAATACTGTCGGGAACGGCGTATACAGTGAGCAAAACATCAGCACAGGCCATGTTAAAGATGAAGTAATTACTTGGAGTCCTCATTCTTTGATTAGCGTTTTTGTACACGACCGCGATTAACAAAGCGTTGCCCAACATAGACGACAGCATGAGAAAAACTAAAGCAGTTATTTTCATCCCCTTTACAAAGTCACCTTCTTGTGACCAGTCGGAGGCGCTAGTACTGTTCACAGATTCGATGGAAGGGCCTGCAGGCATTTCGAAGCTCCTACACTGACCAGTAATTCAGATTTTTTCCTTCACAAGGCACCGAGGAGTGTTTTCTCTTCGCTTTGAGGCTTACCACGACTTACCGCGTTTCAAGAGACTCGCAAACTGAGCTTGAAGTGATGAACGTTTGATATTTCTTGTCTTATTATTTAATATTTGGCCAGCAGCTTTCGGAGGAGTGGTCAATAACTCGCATTTTCATTAAAACCTAAACTCTTTGCTTTTATCTTGTACCTCTTTTCACCTGCCTCGTCTCTAAAGTTTACCTGTAATGTCAATTTTACACTTTTTGATAGGGCAATGCAATTAATCAAACTTCCAAGAGAGTTCATTTATCACGTTAATCTCACTACGATAATTTAGACTTGCAATTGATAACGTCGATTTCTTTGAAAACGTAAAAAAAAGCTGTAAGAGTATTAATTTTCCTCTAATGACTTTTTAGGGATGATTAATAATCAGTTGTTGATGGAAAATTTGTTTTTTCCGGAGAAAAAGCAACTTCTAGAAAGGTTTCTACGGTAGTCAGCTATTAATTTTAACATTACAAAGACAACATCTCAATGACGGTGTCATGTTTTTTTACGCGATGATGTTGTTAGGGCTTATAACATTTAACTTGTATTTTGAAGGTATCTACTCATCTTGCTTCCTCTGTGGTTTTCCTTTCAAATCCCTTTTATATCATTTAGCTGCTGAACCCTAGGAGAAATTTTATCTGAAGTGTTACATAGATTTTTACGAAAATACGGAAGTTTCGATTTCACAAAATTACTTTAATTTACATTTCAAACTAAGACTCTTACGTAAACTTCGTAAACATAATTTCCGTGTGGAGGCGTTTTTTATTAAAAGAAGGATTTGACTTTCAGTCTGTGCGCGACAAAACATTTTCGTTGATATTTTGGAAAATTTTTTATTTTCTACAAATAAAATAATAGTTAAGATCCCCACGAAACCTCTTTTCGTGCGGTTCTGGCCGTCGGATGCACGAAATATTCTAGCCCGCTGTATTTTGATCAAATTTTAAGGAAAGAAAACTGAACGAGGTGACAAGTACAAAACGTGAATCTGAACGAAGGAGCCTTCTTGCAACAACTATTTCATCTATCCCCAAGGGCACTAGTTGAAGATCTGAGATTCTGTCTGAAGCACGGATGTTTTCAGAATTTGTTTTTGAATCTCAAGTTTCTGAACAGATGAATTTCTTGGCTGCAATTTTGTCTACCGTAAGTTCCGATAGTAACTGGCTACTCCTAACCTTACCTTTCACGGTCTTAAGTCAAAGAGTCAAACATTGCGAGCGCGTGAAACCCTCCTACACATCACTATTGGACACGAGAAACGGTTTTTCTGGAAGTGGGCAAGGTATTGGGCAGACTGAGTTATTAAAAGAGGCTTACAGGCTCTCCCCTTCTCTTCGCTCCCGTTTTCGCTGTTTGCCCGCTTTTTTTTTCGCTCGTCTGCACTAACCCAAAGCCTGGCACAGGCTAGGTATGGTTTCCACAACCTCTAGGTCTAATATTGGACAGGTTAAAGTTGGATGCTCAGTGGAACCAGAATGTTGAAAAACCGGGTGGGTTTTAATTCTTGGTCTCTTGAAAAATGGGATTTAGAACTGAATTAGGGTGAACAAAATCATTTATTAAGTTCTGAAATCTTGACCAACACGCTTGCCTTTTGCAAAGGATTCTCAAAAGATCCTAAAGAACGATTCTATGAAACGACGTAAAACACAACATATATTTGCATTAGGGGCTGTTTTAATGGAGGGAGGAAGATCCTAGAAGGCGGACCAACTTTTCTTTCGGTTTACAAGCAGAAATTTCGGTCCGTGTGGTTATCAGTGGAGAAAGAATTTAAGATTAAAGATTGCCCGCAGAACAACCCGCCGCCATTTTTGTCTGGTTTGTCACTAGTGCCAGGTTCTTCCTAGCAAAGGCAGTTTACATGGTGCTAGGATCTTCTCATGTTTGGATCTTCCTACCACTCACCTGGGAAAATCCTATAATACTAGGAAACTCCTAGCGCTAGGGACAAGTACAACCTTTTGCATGTAAACGGAATACAGAAAACATATGGCGCTAGGATGATCCGCCGAGAGCAAGAATCTCCCTCCCTGAGAATCAGACAAGTACAGTCGACTCCCGATAACTCGAACCCTCGCTAACGTGAACCTCGCGCTTACTCGAACCAAAATCGATTTCCTCTGGATTTCCGTCATACATTCACTGTACTATTACCCTCGGTAACTCGAACCCTCGATAACTCGAACTCCCGCTAACTGGAACCAATTTTCGTTTCCGCTCAGGTCATTTTCTATATAATTTTACCCTCGATAACTCGAACCATGTTTTGAGCCCTTAAAAAGTCGGGAAAAAAGCCGTCTACTGGCGTCCGAAATATTTAATTTTGGATTTCCTATTGACATTTTGTAGCAGTATAGTTTACCAGTGGAGGCTGATGTTGGTTGTCACAGGCTAACGTGAAGAAGCTTTTCTTCTCAAAACAGTAAAGCGCATGCTCTATTTAGGCTATGTTTTGTTACGTTACGTTCTGATTTATAATCTAGAAGTGTCTTTTAATTTTCACTTGACCTTTCTAATATTAAATGAGATTAAAATGTTCACTGTGCAGTAAAAAGTGTTTTTTACCTTACTCTCGGCTATTTTCTTCGAACTCTCGATAACTCGAACTCCCGATAACTCGAACCTTTTTTAAATTCCCTTGAAGGTTCGAGTTATCGGGAGTCGACTGTACGCAACCCGTGAGCTGGCCGGCGTCAAACGCTGGTTTATTGTTTTTTCCTTCTTCGTCCATCCCAGACTCCGAATCATTCTCCTTTGCTGTGTTTGCACAGTGCTTTGTGTTAATTAATGTTGTTTTTATTCCGATTTTGTAGTTTCCTTAGCTGATTTGAGCTCCAGGGAAGGCCAGCTTCCTATATCCTCTTTTCGAAGTTTAATCTCCACCTTGGTTGGAGACAACATTACAGAGCTGTTTTCTGGGACAATAAGCTGAAAGATAACACGTGCAATAGTAGTAACCTTGAAGAACAGGTTCTAAAAAGGAGGTTAAATACAGCGTTCACCGAAAGGTTAAAAAATGCACTTTATTTGAGTGTCTATGTATTTAGCACGAAAGTACTAATCAGGGACTTTATTTTTACGTCTCCAACTGGAGACGGGACCACCTTATTACGTGGTCAGCAGAGCCACCCGGAGATCTAGCCGCTTGCAGTGCAATTTCTCAGTTATTTTAAGACCCTGAATATTGGTCCGGCTCAGGGAATCAAACCCGCGACCTCTCGCTCTGCAGTCAAGCGCTATACCGACTGCGCAAATACTGCCGCGGTTTGATGGTGTTAAAGGCATACGACACCGATGAAGTTATGAATATATGAAAATAATATATAAGAACTGCAGGAAGAATAATGACATATGACACCCTCGTGGAGGTAAATAAAGGCAACAAGATCAGTCGCAAACTTCGATTTATGTTAAAACACAGCCGTTTAAGTACCAAAATTTACAAAACTGTCTGCAAGCTTATCTGAGCTTTGTCAGGATTGTCGCAAAATTTTGTCGGGTCTTTTCATGGCGAGCACAGCAGTCAGTCGCGGTGAGTCTATTTAGGTGAACTAAGGGCCGTCCACACCAGGTGCTCGAGAACCAGTGCTTGGGTACCGGCACAAAATGGTACTGTGTTCACACCTTGAGTATCCGAAATAAGACTGCGTACATAGTAAATCCATTTCGCCCAGTCAGACGTCATTTTGAAACATGAGCTTAGTAGAGAGAACAAAGCAGTGGACTGCCAAAGAACTAAACAAAAACGCTCTGCACACAAGGACCCGGTACCCACTTTTGTGCCTGAGTACAAGGTCGAGATCTTGTACTCGGGCACCGGCACCGTGCCCGAATTTTAGCGTGGGTACTTGCGAAAAGGGTGTGTTCACATTAGTACCCAGCGAGTACCGTACTAGGGCACCGTGCCCAAGTACCAAGTGTGAACGCTTCCTTTACTGTACAATATCTACACCATGTATTCGGCTACTGGTACCGTGCCCGAATTCTGGCGTTGGTACTTGTGTTCACATTAGTGCCCAGCAAGAACCGTACTAGGGCACCGTGCCTGGGCACCAAGTGTGAACGCGGCCTTTAAATCGGTTAAACTCACCCCATGAAGACAAAGACGGAGTTCAAACACGTTGGAACCACCAAATGAAACGTGAGCATGTAGCTGTTAACGAACAAAACACGTACAATTAAGCACTTGTTGACTTATCCAAGGAAACAATGTGTTCTGACGTGACTTTCTACACCTTTCCACCAAAGCGCGTTTTCCGCATAGAAGATAACGTGTCACTAACTACGTCCCAAGGGAACAAACGACTCGCACGTGATCAGGTCGTGTTCTTTGCAAACGCGGGAAATACATGTGACAGTCGCAGCATTGGCCGAAAGAGTCATTTAGGGCCTGTTTGCATGAAGGTAGGGGGACCCCAGGAAGGTTAGGTAACCCGCTTAGGTGGGGTAACCCGCCTGTCCATATAATCTCTCATTTTAATTTGATCACGTTTACATGATAGGTGGGGTGACCCGCCACATGTTACCTCACCTATCTGTGGTACCCCACCCCCATGTAATCAGGCCCTTAGAACTTGTCTCAATTTTGAGATGGGTGGTATAAATAAATAATGACTTGCTCAACCAAAAACAGTTCGGAGAAACAAAAGTCACTGTTTTTCTTTATGTTAAAATATTTAAGACCGTTTTTCTTATAGACAATAATGCAAAAAAAAAAAAAATTAAAAAATGTACCGATTCAACCTCTACTTACCACAGTTTGATTTGCTTCAACGAAGGTTTGCTCAGGATTGCTTAACTTCGCAAAAATTGACACAACGATGAAGTTTCCCATTGCATACCAGTCATACCTTCATTACAACAGATAAACAATTTAAAGCTTCAAAAAAGCCCACAAAG